TCAGCAGGAGCAAATGAATGAGGAACAACAGCACTGAGGAGAGCCCAGCATCTGCAGGGCTGGGGGCTGGGAAGTGCCTCCTCAGGGTTGAAATGCCATGTCAGCTCCTACAGCATCTCATGTCATGGTGAGTCCCGTGGCAGTGACAGACTGCAGCTTTCCTCACTGGGGGACTGTGCAGCAGAGGGCACATGGGGTGAGATGTGAGCCACAGGATCTCTGGGTGTGATCCCAGGACCCCAGAGAGGGGCAGACAGGTCATGATGCCACGTTGCACATGCAGAGACCTCTGCGTGGCCAGGAGAGCAGGAAGGGGGAACAAAGGCAGGTTTTGTTCTCACATTTGTGAAGCTCAACAGGTCTGGTGTAGGGGCAGGCAGGGTGTGATGCACTTAACTGTGCTTGCACATGTTTTCAGTGAAAGGCACAGGGAGGAGGCTGTCCTGGAACACTTGTTCCACTGTGGTGTCTGCCAGTGTCCTCAGCCAGGCTCAGCAGGTGTCAGTTCTGGAGCAGCCCTGCCTTTCAGGTCATCTCACTCTTCCTCCGGTCTTGTTTGCAGGCTCATTTTGAAAGGCAAATAGAAAAAAAGTGAGATTTCTAACTGATTGGCTGGAAAAAATTCATTTTTTGAGATTTCCAACTGGTGGTGGTCAAGTTGGGTGTGTTCAGTGTATCAGGAGTAAGGAGATGTGGGGTGTGCTTTTTTTCATAAAATAAGAATTGACTTACATTTAAAGCTTCCCCTTGCCCTCCTGCCCCCCAAATACTGGCAAGCACTGGCTGAGAACTGGGGAATGCCCAAGTCTGCTTTAATTAATAGCTCCTCAAATTTAGCCATTCCTAGCTATTAATTTAACAGAGAATTTTAAGTAGATCAGGGAAAAACACCCACTAATGAAGCAGTGCTAAAGCAGATCTGGTTGACACACCAGAAGTTCTTGTTCAATGCTGTGTCCAGTTTTTGTTTGCTTTTAACATCTTCAGCAGTTCCCACCAACCCAGTGCTCTTTACTGCAGTTGAGCTGTCCCAGGATGGTGATGAGACTTCTTGTCCTGTCAAATGCTTGAACCTGGTGGTAAAATGAGCTGAGTGATGAAGGATTGTACTCCTACTCTTTAGACAAGTCTCTGATTTGACCAAGAAGAATAATCACATTTTCTCAGGTGTTTTCAGATGAACTTTTTGCTAATGC